TCCTTGTTGTCTCCTTATGTGTCCTTGTTGTCTCCTTATGTGTCCTTTTGTCTCCATAAGCATCCTTTTGTCTCCTCATGTGTCCTTTTGTCTCCTTATGTGTCCTTGTTGTCTCCATATGGATCATTTTTTGTTTTTAGATGTTCCTTTTGTCTTCCTATAAAACCGTTTTTTCTCTCTGTGTCCCATTTGTCTTCGTCTGCATCCATTTGTGACCATTTGTCCTAATTGTCTGTGTATTGCTCCTTTATTGTCTTCCTGTGCATCTTATGCATTTTTATGTCCTTGTTTTCTCCTCATATGTCTTTTTTAACTTCCTATGCATCATTTTGTCTCCTTAAGAGTCCTTTTTGTCTCCTCGTGCATCCATTATTGTCCACATGTCCTATTTGTTTATGTTCCTTTTTGTCTCGTTGTCCATTGTTGTTTTGTTTTTATTTATACTTTTGTTTCTTTATGTTTTTTTGTTTGTTGCTGCCTCCTTTTGTCTCCTAATTCTTTTGTCGTCTTTTGCTTTATGTTCCTCGTCTTTTTCAAATATTCCAACATACAAAGTTCGTCCATTACTCTCCTCTCGTCAACGTTCTCTCCTCGTTTTTAAAAAAACGCAGTTTCTCTCGTGACCTTTTCTCCGACCTGTTGTCCGTCGCAGCTGCTGTGCGGTCAGGAGGAGTGCGTCCAGTGTCTGCTGGAGCAGGAGGCCTCCGTTTTAATTGGCGACTCCCGGGGTCGCACCGCCATCCACCTGGCCGCCGCCCGAGGCCACGCCTCCTGGCTCGGCGAGCTGCTGAGCATCGCCTGCTCCGAGTCTCCGTCTCTGCCGCCTCTGAGGGACCACAGCGGGTACACGCCGCTGCACTGGGCCTGCTACTACGGTGAGACGGTTTTCACAGAGCGGTGAGCTCCCGCTGCCCAAAGCTGATGTCTGTCTGTTAGCAAAATATCTCTTGAACCACTGCGCACACTTAAATGAAACTTGCAGAAACTATTTACTGGATGTACGACTTCAGCTGATTGTCGTTCCAATTCAAGATGGCCACCACAGCCATGTGACCTTCGAAAACAAATTGATCTCTAGTTCAGTCAAATTTAAAGATTTTATGTTTTAAATTTAATGTTTGCAGCTGAGACTGATCACAACATTTCAGTTCTAACAGATTCTGCAGGCTCTTTGATAAAAAGCTTATTTTTTGCAGTCAACGTTATCCGTCTGTTAGCAAAATATCGTATGAATCACTGCACGTTTTAAGGAAACTTTCAGAAATTGTTCTTTGTACTTTTATTTACAACTGATTAAGTGTCGGAGTCACGCCCATTCAAGATGGCTGCCACAGCCAACTGTTCTTTGAAAGGCTATAATTTGTTCATATTTACAGATATTGTGCTAAAACTACGTGAGGTGGTAGCTGAGCGTCATCCCAAATGCACATCCGGGTGCGATTTATTCTGTTGGAAGAGTTGTTGGAGTTACCCTCTTTGTCTGTTAGCAAAATATCTCATGAGGCACTGGATGGATTTTAATGCAACTTTTAGAAATTCAAAACTTTATGAATGTTTTGGAGTCAGCCCAATTCAAGATGGCCACCACGGTTAGTCAACATTAGCTATCGCCGAAGTAGCTATAAGTCAACAGGCATTGAGTTTGGTCTGGTAGTAGCTGAGAGTCATCCCCAACACGTTTTCTGAGTGACCTCTCTGGCGTCTTTAGACTCTGGAGTCTGAAACTCTGGCGTGAAAGGCGGCGGGTGATCTGCGTTCCTTCCAGGAACTTTTAATTTTGTAACGGGAGCTTTTCAACGAGCTGATTTATTCCACGAGTTAACAAAATAAAACGTTTAGCTCGGCCAAACGTGCAGTTGTCGGTTTCTGTCCCCCGCCGCGGAGCGAAGACACCCTCCGTCTGCCGTGCACGTTGTGAGCATGATAACTTGAAGAGTAAGCGAGGCGCCGACTTCTATTTTATCTTGTGGCCGCATCTCTGCGTAAGAAAGGTCGCCGTCGAAAATTGGGTCGCCACGTCAAAATCCAAGATGGCTGCCACCAAATATTTAAAAATATAAACGTGTAAACCGACCGGCCCTTTCATTGGAGGAAACTGCCGTTTAGTTTTTCCATCCATCCATCCATTATCTTTACCCGCTTATTCCATTTTGGGTCACGGGAGTCGCTGGTGCCCATGTCCAGCAATCACTGTGCGAGGGGCGGGGTACACCCTGGACGGGTCGCAAGTCCATCACAGGGACACATAGAGACAAACGAGACAAACAACCATTCTCTCTCTCACTCACACCTAGGGACAATTTAGAGTTACCAATCAGCCTAACATGCATGTTTTTGGTCTGTGGGAGGAAACTGGAGTACCCGGAGATGCAAGGAGTGAACATGCAAACTCCACCCAGAAAGGCCCCTGGACCGGGGTTTGAACCAGGGACCTGCTCGCTGAGAGGCAGCAGCTCTACCAGTTGCGCCACCGTGCTGCAGCCGTTTAGTTTTTATATTTCTTAAATATATAGTTTCTTCAAATGATTGGGGTGGCTTGAGATTATCTATGGGGGCCTAGGCCACCACTGGCCCCCCCTGGCTCCACCTCTGCACCTGGAGGTGGATAAAATGGCTCCCTCCGTCACTCTGCGTCGCCTCGGACAAGAACAAGACCTCCGTCTGTTCTTCTCCACTCGAATATCTTGAACTAAAAACATTTAGGTTTTCTTCATTCTGTTCCTCCAGAAAAACACTCGTCTCCAGAACTACAAACGTTCACTGTTCAAAGCAACGGGACGTGCCTCTGGTCTTCTTGAACTCACAGAGGTGGGCTCGTGTGTTGTTTGTGTCTTCAGGCCACGACGGCTGCGTGGAGGTCCTGCTGGAGCAGCGAGGCTGCCGCTGCATCGACGGGAACCCCTTCACGCCTCTGCACTGCGCCGTGTGAGTCCCTCGTCTCTGTTGCTGGACGTTTGACAGCAGCTGCTCAACTGAACCTCTTTCTGTGCTTAAACACGTCAGGTTGAACGACCACGAGCCGTGCGCGACGCTGCTGCTCGAGGCCATGGGCCCCGACATCGCCGGCTGCAGAGATGCCAAGGGCAGGTGAGGCGCTGACCCGGCGGGCTCGTTCTACTTTCTGCTGCACCGTCTTTTTTTCATCTCCGTCGCTCTCCTGCAGGACTCCTCTTCACGCGGCGGCGTTTGCGGGTCACGTGGACTGCATCCAGCTGCTCCTTTCCCACGATGCACCTGTGGACGCTGCAGACCAGTCCGGCCACACCGCGCTGATGATGGCCGCCGAGAAGGGCCGAGCCGAGGCTCTCGGTACCGAACTCTTTGACCCGACTGTGTTGTTTTGAATGTAGTGAGTCTGAGTATTTCTCTACGTTCTCTCGTTCTTCAGAGGTTCTGTTGACCAACTCCAGCAGCAACCTGAGTCTGGCAGACAAAGACGGCAACACGGCTCTGCACCTGGCCTGCTTCAACGTAGGTGACCAACGGTTCGGTGTGGCACGAGATCCAGTTCAAATTACCGTCATTTCTGGACTGTTGAGTGCGCCCAAATATAAGCCACGCCCACTAAATAAAATAATAATTTCTACATATATAAGCCACGCCCACT